ATTTCTCCTGCATCCTCCCGCAATAAGGAAGCAGCATACTCTCCTAAATTAACTTGGCAGAAAAATGTTTTCCTACCCTTTCAGATTCTTATTAATTTTAAATACATAAACTCATGTTCAAGAAGAAAATCCTACAAAGCATTTTCACAGATGGCTTGGTTTCTCAGTGGATAGTAATCTGACATAGCATGAAATGACAACCTATTATTACTTTAATGTTAAGGTCAAAAGGATTATTTTGTATGCCTAAATTAGGTATCCCAAAGCTTTAGTCTTTATCAGACCCACACCTAGACAAACTATCATAAAGTAAGGATTGAACAGGCTGATGTTATTTAAGAAAGAATTAATTTTCAATACTGAAGCACTACTTATATAGCCTTTAAAAGTAAACAAGAAGCTAACATCGTGCCTTGTTAAAGGCAGGTCATTTCTAACCGTTAAAATTATTTTTCTTATCAAGTGGTATTTTATCAGCACAAATATAGATCTTATAAGCAGGAAACAAGCTCACGTACGGTTATGAAAGCGGCGCCATTTTACTGAAACTGCATTAGCTCTAACCACAATAAGACTTTTTAATAATAGAGTCTATCAATTCCCTCATATTCATGACTCACTGTCACTAGAAAAACCAGTTTGCATTCAGTTTACTCAATGCATATTATAAAAGCATCTTCCTATAAGTGGGAAGATAGTTTCAGCACAGGCAAAAGAAAAGTGACCTGGGTAATGAAAACAGATAGGATGCTTTGTCTGTGATTACAGAAAGAACTAAATAATGTCATTCTCTTATAAATGCCTGAAATACTTCAACTTATTTTACAGCCCCCGGCAAAATCATGGCCTCAAGATTTCTCTCAAGGCAAAGCCCTAAAGCACCTGAATGTTTATTAAAGGAATCCCTGGACATACTACATTATTATCTCAGTATAATTCCAAATGCAACAAACTCAATTCAGCAATTCAGCACTTACTGAATGATTATTACATACAAATACTGTGTAACACAGAGCAGTAATTACAATATATACCTCATCTTCAAGAGTCTTACAATCTACTGGGAGAACAAAACACATTATCAGCCCTTCTCAACTGGGGTTATTTATCTGAATGACAAATGAAAGAAGGACCCAAGCACTATTTTCTCAAATCTTTCAAGGATGCATTACAACTAATACAATGCTAGATGCATATGACAGATGTCTTGGGGTGTAATGGTAAGAAAGTACCAAAAGACAAAGAGAGTATGGAAGACCACATGTCATGCTCCAAACTTGGTATTCTTTGCTGTGGCTCACTGAGAGTCCACACATATTTTAAGCACATAAGTAACATAATCAAACATGTAAAATGCTATTTTGGCAATAGTACAGATGAAGGGAGAGAAATGGAAGCAAGAAACCCAACTATGAGATTACAGAAATAATCTTAGCCTTAGGAGTAATAATGTACTGAACTACAATAGGATCAATCAGGATGAAAAGGCAAATGAACAGGATTTGGTAAATGACAGAGGCAAGAATAGTTGTCTCCAAGACTTTCATCCAGGATGAACAAGAATAAAGTGATACCATGCAACTATGATAGAAATATAGGACTTAGAAAAAAAACAACAACCAGCAAACTGCTTTTCTCTATGCCTTCAACTGTGCTAAATTTATTCCAGAATTTGTATTTTTATTGGTTATTAGGAACCATAATGAAAGACCAGATTTTAAAGTACTTAAACCCCTACACCACTTCTTCAGGATAAAATACTTACACAACCAGGAAAAAATCTAAACAATTTAATGTCATAGAGATAAAGAATCCCTCACCTAACTGCCAGAATCAGCTTACTAGTAATGAGAACAATGTCTTACAACAGATCAGTTCATTTACAAACCATCCTTTAGCCAAAGCTTTGAGGAAAAGTCTCCCTAAGAAAAAGAATGGCAAATGTTATGGCACTGTCTAAAAGCACTCAAAGAATCCAGAGGAAGAATGTTCCAAAACTCTATGGCAAGACTGTAAGATCTTTTCCTAACTGGTATGGAATTAAAGTTGAAATATGGGGACATGAATATTGGGTGAAATACAGAAGTCACCTTAAGACTTCGAATCTCTCTCTCCTACTTCTCCTACCCTTCGAAAAAGTCTTAATAGGAATTGGCAGTATCAACTCGAGCACAGAAATTTTTATCTACAATCCAATCACATGTTTATAAACTCTATTCTAAAAACGGTCATCAACCCTATTCCAAAATGTACTTTAGAATTTTTGGAAATTTTTAATGGAAAACACATGAATATGCCCTTCTATATGTCTATGACTTCTTTACTTCTCTTTTTGTCCTATGTGAGACAATGTTAATATAAGATGTTATTCCTCATTTTAGTAGTCATACAAACTATTCAATATCCAAAAGTAGGAAAATAAATTAGCCTACAGGATGATTTTGAGATAGCAGAAAAGTTGACTGAATTATATGAAACAAAAGGCATTTGCTTTCTGAAAAAAGCAGCAGAACAGCCTAAGTAATAAGAACAAAGCTTTGGTGACAAAGAGTCCTTGGGTCAGATTTTTCTATCTATAAAACGGAGATTTTACTACATAAACGAGTCTGTGAGATAAAAGTAAATTAGTGTTTTCCATACCCGGCTGGTCACCAGAATCACCTGGGAAGCTTATTAAAAACATACCATCCCATGCCCCATTCCATACTTTCAGGAGTGTGGTCCCAAAATTTGCATTTTCTAACAAACTCCAAAGATGGTATCAGTCTTACAACTTGGAAATCACTGAAAAAAAAAATTTTATGCTTTTTATATGTTCCTATATAATTTACATCTTTATGTATAATGTAACTTAACAGCGCCCTAGTATACTGTAAAATGTTCAATAAATGCTTTATGTAATTATTATTTTGAAATAGGAGATAAAACTAAGCCTTTTGTAACATCATGGCCACGAAGTGGTCTTGCAGAACAGTTCGCATAAACCTCTCAGCAAAAACAAGACTTGAAGCACGAAACCATACTGCTTCAGAGACTGCGAGAGATGACAAAAGTGAAGTTTCACACTGATGACAACGCCCCTTTTCCACAACATAGTTTATGACAGAAGGAAAGCATAAAGTCAGGCCTGTCTTGTATTTTTCATACCAAAGCTTGATCACACAAGGTCACTCTATCACAAAATCTTTACATTTCTTCCTTATTTTTCAGAAATTCATACAAATTCATATAAACTCATGACAGAGCATGTAAGTACTAAATAAATGTGTACAGTAACTTTAACCATAACAAACAGCTAAAACCCACAGAGATGTACGAATACTCACAGGAAATCCCTGGTTCTTATTTATGAATAACATCAATCCTTTTTAAAAGCCCAAACCCTTAAATTATTTAGTATTTCTTAAAAACTGACCACATACATAGGATATAAAGCCCTTTAAGAAAAGCCTTAAGCACATTTTTGCAACAATACTGTATACAGATCAGTGTTATCTATAAGATTACATTTTAAAACTCCTTCTATAAAAACCATAACAAATTTATTTATAAATGTGGTTTCCAGCTTGTTTCTATCATATCACAGATCTGGTAAATTCAGGAAACTATTATAATAATGAATAATCTCTCTTCTAAATTTTGATACTAAAACAAATTTTTTTAGAAGTTATCACTGACAGAAGGCAAGAGTGTATCCTATGGTCATTTGGAGTAGACTACATAGACTATGTACTAAAACTTTTTATTTTAAAACACTTTTAGGAAATGATTCTTAATGAACACAAACTTAGTTACTAATGTTTAAAAGTTAAAATACTCAAGGTGTACAAAATAATGTTTACCTAATTACCAAACACGGTATTTTACCTTTGGGTTTATTTCTCTATATACACATCTTACAAACATTATGGGAATCCATGATCTAATGCTAACAGAGTGCTGCAAGCACTGAGAAATAAGTGTGTTACATAAACAAAGCTTAGAGGGAAGGAGTTGTTTTGGTCACTAAATTATAGTACTTTACCATTTTCTTTTATCAAGTTTTAACCATTAATCCTTCTGGTATTAAAGAAGCAAAGTTACACCAAGAGATCCAGAAGGCTGAGGTAATGTGATCTTAAGAGTTTAAAGAAACACAGTAACTACTAGAATTCAGAGATGTCTCAAGCAAGTAAAACCGAAAGTTATCAGCTTTCATAGGCCTGTAGAATCCTAACTACTTCCATGAAAAGTCCTTATAAATACCAGACCTGCACAAAGTGTCTTCATGATAAGAGAATGCAGAAAATTTAATGAATTTAATCCGATTACCCTCCACACCTATATTTCCAGAAATATTTGGGGTGTGGTGTGTGACAATCAAGAGCCTTAAAAAAGTTTTTAGTCTTCAGTACACACTTGATATGAGGCAACCAAAAAAAATACTTGATCTACAAAAATACTTGATCTACCAACAACATATGGTAAGGAAGGTTACTTTTCTGCTCCCCTTCCCTAAAAAAACATCTTTATGGATGTATCTTCCTGAAGCCTTTATGAAACCTCTCTTTTCTATACTTTTTTGGTTACCTTTCTGGCTCTATCCCCACGGATAAAATGTTTTGCCAAGTGGTCTTGAAAAAGACACAGAAATTTAGAAACGGGGGAGGGGACAGACGGCAAAGACAGGGTTATGATTTAACTTCTCCATCATAAACGACTTCTAAAGGAGCAAAGCAGGTTAATACTGAAAAGTATTAGCACGAAAGTAAAACTCTCCAAAGAGGAACAGAAATGCAAATACCCCTTCATTCTACTAGACCTCAACCCTAAAGTGAGAAAAGTTTAGGACATGGTACATTAATAAGCTTGCAAAGTTAGCTAGACTTCTCATGACAATAAACATTAAAAAATTAACTCCAAAGGAAAATAATTTGTAATAAGTTAATGGGTTTCACCACAGTAATATTTCTCAAAAATATAAAATTTAAAACACTACAAAGTACAGGACAATAACTTACTTGAGTTGGAACAAGCACGGGAGGGTAGGCCATCTTGTGATGCCTGTACACCCAAAATGCACAAATGACAATCCCCGCAATTAACATAAGTGGCACCAAGGAATAGAGCAGGATGTTGTAATAGGGTGGCTTAGGTGTAACTGGATTTGAAGTGGCTGTGGAAAAGGGGGGGAAAATAACTCAGATTTGGTCTACAAAATTCTATAATAAATATTTGTCATAGTCTCAAATTTTGGGGGAAAAGAAGAATATGAAGAGGTGGGGGTAAATTATTCCATCAACACAAATATATTTTGTTTCCAATCTACAGTTAAGCAAACCTATGTATTTTCCCTGTGAACTTACGCTGTGTGACTTCCATCTCCGGAAAATAAGAAAACTTTTCATTACACATATTGCCCTCACAGCAACAAAAATATACTTCAGGGCTGTCTTTTTTTTCTACACAATCAGTCCTGTAAATAAGCAGAGAAAAAATAATTAAAATCAATATTATTATACTGACCCTACAACAGATGTTTTTATTCTGCAATAAAATAAATTAGTCATTTATATTCAACTTCAAGATTCATATTAATATCTAATAATTCTTAAAAACCAAAAATATTCCTGGATTCCTGTTACTAAATCTCTTTAGAAAAAAAAAAATCAACGACTGACTTTATAACAATCACATTGACTACTAGAGACTATCGCTGTACTTTGGTTTTTAATGAGCAACCTAAGGCAAGCATCTTTTTTTATTTTTTTAATTATTAGAAAAGCTTGAAGAGGACATAAAGTCAATGAGACAATTTGGTCTAAGAGCGCTTTTGCTCACAGGAAATATAGCGTTCCCATTTTGTGAATACAAAAACTGAAAACTATATATAAAACTGTGTATGTATACATATAAATACATATACACATGCTAAATGATAAAAGCTCATATCTCATGGGTGAAACATTTCCACATCAGAAACCCCAACTAGGCTGAGGAATTAATACTGTCATTGTTTTTTAGAGTGTAGATTTAAATTCCCTGAATGCAATGAACAGGGTTGAGATGAGCAGTAAGTAGAAAAAAAACATGTAACAATAATTATATAGCACCTACTAACTCAAACTGATTAGAATTACACCAAAAAAATAAAAATAAAGTAGCCTTCTACATAGGAGCTTAAGTCATGAAAAGACCTGGATTTAGCCTTTAGAACAAATCCTAATCACCCACTAATAAACAGCTAAACCTATTTAAAAAAAATCAACATCAGATGAACTTACAGTGTATCTTAAAAACAAACTGAACTTTTCTGATAGTTGTCAGAATAATAATGTAGAATTTAATTCTTAAGTGAAAAGCTGAAGAAATTTCAGGGAGATAGGAGGTTTAACAAAATCAAACTAAAATATACTCAACATCAACATCTATTTGGCAGGAGGTTTTTAAAGACGAATGAAAGCTAAATGTTAACAATTTATAAAGAGAAATATATAAATTTAAAAACTGATATTTAAAATCATGTCTCAAATTACAACAGATTAACATGATTACTTAGCCTAATTAATTCAATAAAGTTACTTTTCACCATTCAATTTCATTCTTCTTTTATCATTTTCTTTTCTTCCACACTTTGACAATTCTTCAATCTTCTTTTCCTCTTACTTCTCACTATCCTATTTGTTTTCAATCAAATTTAGAGTATAAAAACAAAAATTTTATAGTTTAAAATTAGCATTTAACCTCCAGACACAAAGGTAGTATACTAATTACCATTCCAAGAGCAAGTATTTGCAATGAATAACACACTTGCAGACTCCAGTGAAAATGGCTCACTACTCTTTTCGGCACTATCGAGTCTCACATAGCTGGAGTATTGTCTTTAGGTAAAGAGCAAAGTAGTTTTCTACTACAAAAAAGAATAGGAATCCCTGATTCCAACTAAATGATAAAAAACAGTTTGGGATAAAGATGATTCCCAAACTTTTTTCCCCAATTTCTTCCTGTTTACCTTTCATAACAGCACATATCACTCGACCACTTCTGTTAGTAGAGGTTGATAATCAGAAATGCAGCTAAAACATATAAGTACATAGAAATAATCCCTGGAAAATTCACATACTTAGAAGGACATCCTAAATACGAAATATATATCTAAATCTAAATGACTGTGTTGTAATTTCTCATGAAAAGTGTAGTTAATCTAATTTTCAAGGGCTTATTCAATGCAGTTTGCTCTTAGTCACATATAGCTAATCAAACACAGATTCCAGGTTATCAACTGAGGCTCCCAAAAGTGATCCAGAAGTATCTAGTGTTCACTGTATACAGCAGTACTCTCTGGCTCCAAAACGTCTGTTTATCTGGGACTTTACAGCTTCTGCCTGTCTTCAGCACCTACCCACAGCAGAAATCCTGTGGCCCAGGCAGTGAACGGATCACCCTAACTGCTATGGGACGCCATACAGAAAGATCACAGGCAGTCAATAACATGACCACTGTATTTTACTTCCAGTACAGAGTAAAGCAATTTAAACAAGTATGTAGTTTGAGGACTGTGTTAGTTCTGATGAAATTTTGAATGTCAAGTTAAAAAGTCTCTTGGGGTAGACCACGCATGGTGGCTACATCTGTAATCCCAGCACTTTGGGAGGCCGAGGCAGGTGGATAACCTGAGATCAGGAGTGCGAGACCTGCCTGACCAACATGGAGAAACCCTGTCTCTACTAAAAATACACAACTAGCCGGGCATGGTGGCGGATGCCTGTAATACCAGCTGCTTGGGAGTCTGAGGCAGGAGAATCACTTGAATCCGGGAGGCGAAGGTCGCGGTGAGCTAAGATTGCACCATTGCACCCCAGCCTGGGCAACAAGAGCAAAACTCCGTCTCCGAAAAAAAAAAAAGTCTCTTAGGGTAAAGAGCGAAGGGCCTACTTTGCAAGAAAAAAAAAGGAAAAAAATGTAGAAAGATAAATTTCTTCCAGATACATAAAGAAGGAAACTGAAAGAAAATTAAACACATGATTAAGTTTTATTCTTCTTGAGGATAGATTTTCAACAGATAAACTCTTTTAAAGTAATTTTTTAAATGTCTTCCTTAAAAAACTAGCATTTTAAAAGTTTATAATCCTAACAACATTGGGGAAAATGGTTTTTATTTCAGAGTTCTCACTACCTGGTAGATTATTCAAAATATATCAAAGATAAAACATAAATATGCCATGTTTATTTTATTACTTTAAAATATACTGTCATTAGAGCATGTTATAATATTCTTTATACTCCCATTTTTAAAAAAGCAAGACACATTTAAGGGAAAATTCATGCACTGATCTTTCCCCTTTCAAAAAGGGGGGAAGGATGAAAATTACTCAGTACTACCATAAAATCTTAAATGCGTTCTTACCTGTCATAGCAGTTGATATCATCCAGCCAACAACCTTGTTTCACTATTTCAATGGACCCAGAAATATTCTTCCAGGTAGCAAAACAATGTCGCCGTTTATCTTTGTCACCATAACACGGTTCAACACCAGTTTGATTGGTTCTGTCTTTTTCCCAATTAGCATTAAAGAAAAGACACTCCTGAGTTTCTGATCTACCAAGTATAGCACCTATAAGATAATAAAAACAACAATATAACCACATTAGCTCTTAAAATAAAAGACTGTTTCCCAAGATAGCAACTTCAGGTATTCCTAAAGTGTCAATAATTTACTGTCTTCCCACTTATAACTTTGGGTTTAGGTTTACAGGTTAATCCCTGTACTTTAAATATAAAAATCGCCATTATATAATAGGAAATAACCATACATATTACAATATTTCTCTGAACACCAGTTTCACTTCACTTGAGAATGTCCTTGATGAAAAGCCACCGAAATTATTAATTTTATTAAACCTTGGCCCTTGAGCAGACTACTTTTTAATATTGTATAGGACAAAAACCAAGCAAACATAACTCTGCTGCATAGTGAATACAGCTGACCCCCAACAACTCAGGAGTAAGGACCACCGACTTTGCACACAAACAAAAATCAGTGTTTAACTTGTGACTCCCCAAAAACTTTCCCAATAGACTACCGTTAACCAGGCGCTTTACCAATAGCATCAACAGTTGATTAACACATATTATCTATGTTATAATATTATATACTATATTCTTACACTAAAGCTAAAGAAAAGACAAGGTTATTTTAAAAATAAGGAAGAGAAAATACATTTACAGTACTGAACTGTGCTTATCAAGACCATAAGTTTACATCTTCTGTTCACAAAATAAATCATAAAATACATTTACAGTACTGAACTATATTTATCAATACCATAAGTTTATGTCTTCTGTTCACAAAATAAATCATAAATGGCAACCACAGCTGCAGACCTCAATCTATGGTATGTATCAAACAATTCCACTTTTTCTTGTAATGTCAAGACTTTTCTCTTCTTAGGATCAATTCCAATATCACCAGTGGCACTCTGTATGAGTCCCATGGTGTTATTCAAGGTTCACGGTATTGCGCTAAACACAATGAAAAATATGCTAGAACCGCAAGAGATCACTTTTGACTGCAATATACAATTTACTGGAGGGACAAACTGCTCAAGCTGAGATGATTAGCATCATATGGTGTTTTAAGTAGATATTCGCAACACTTGAGCTCACCGCAACAGCAACAGGAGGCGGCTATGAAATTATTACAGTAGTACAGTGTGTACTATAGTTAATTTTATGCAATTATAATTTAATACTGTATCTTCACATTTATTTACAATTCTCTCAACTGCAAACTGTGCCATATATGGTCTGTAAGTGTGTGTGTGTGTAAGTTTTTTGATACATTTTAACTTTTTATAATAGATTTGTGTATATTTTATGGTAGTAAATGATAAAAGACTGGTTTATACATATATTTTATGCATTCATGACATATATCTAACTTTTTCTTAATTCTTTCAATACTTCTAGGCTACAAAGTTCATTTGTGAGTTTTTTCAAATTGTCCCAAATCTCCAAAGCCTTTTTCAACATATTTATTGAAAAAAATCCACATATGTGTAGACTGACACAATTAAGACCCTTGTTATTCAAGGATCAACTATACAATGGTTGCCTCAAGAAAAAGCCCATGTATGACTGAATTGTAAACTAACAAACTATGGCTGTTTAGACTTGGGTATCTGACAGGCATGTTCTCAAAAGTAAACCAAGTGAACCTGTGACTCCAAGAAAAGCAACTAACAAGTATGCATTTCCAATGATAAAATTTAAGTTTTCAAGCAAAATTAAAATTTTGAAAATTTTTATCTACTACCATCAGCAGTAGGCGATGGTGTCAACCTTTCCAATAGTCTAAGAATTTTCTGATGAGATCAGCAGTGATATTAATAAATGTGACTTTTAAATATTGAATAATGAAATGTGACAGTATTCAGAAAGTCTACATAATTCAGAGAAACAATATTTTCCAAATAAATTGTGATATTACAAAAGTATTCATGGGTTTAAAAAAAATCCACTCAATGTGCATGACAAAGCAGATTTTAGTGTTACAAAAGACGAAATGTTCATCAATGGTTTCAACTTCCCCACTGCAACTAGCATTTACAAAATTATGTCTTGCCTTACCTGAAAAACAAGAAAACTGGAATACCCAAAATAATTCTGAAAAAGTATAAAGGAGAATTCATACTTACTGATTTTAAGACTTACTATAAAACTTCAGGAATAAAAACAGTATGGTTATAGTGAAAAGACAGATACATGTATCAATGGGACAGAACAGAGAATCCAGAAATAGTCCCACATATAAATGGTCAATTGATATAGAGAAAAGATGTCAAGGTAATTCAATAGAAAAATGATAGTCATGGCAACCACGGATGCTGGAGCAACTGAATATCCATATGCAGAAAGAAAAAACAAAAAGCTTCAACCCATATATCACGCCATATACAAAAATTAATTCTAAACATATCACAGACCTAAAATAATACCTAAAACTATTAAACTTTCAAAAGAAAAAATGAAAAATCTTTGTGACCTTGAATTATCAAAGATTTCTTAGAACAACACATATGACCTACAAAAGAAAGAACTGATAAACTGAATCTCACTAAAATGAAAACTTCTACTCTTTGAAGGCTAAGGGGACGAAAAAAGTCCCAGACTGGAAGAAAATACTTGCAAAACACATTTCTAAAAAAGGACTGATACTCAGAAAATATAAAGCCTCTTACAAGTCAATCACAGGAAAAAACACTGTCCAATTATTTAAATGGGCAAAATATTCAAATAGGTCCTTTGCCAAAGAGCAAAGAATAAAAATTTTTTTTTGAAAAAAGCTACTCAATATTATGAATCATCAGGGAAAAGCAAACTAAAACTACAATGAAATACTAACACTAATTCGAATGACTAAAACAAAACAAAAACACAAATGGACAATATCAAGTATTGCTGAACATGTGAGCAACTAGAACTTTCACATATTAGTGGTGGTAGAGCAAAATGGCCCAGCCACTTTGGAAAACAGCTTTACAGCTTCTTAAAGTTAAAACACACACCTGCCCTACTACCCAGCAATCACACGTGTAGATACCCACGTAAGAGATAAAAACGTAAGTCCATGTAAAAATCTGTACATGACTGTTCACAGTGGCTTTACTGATAATCTCCGAAAACTAAAAACACTCCGACGTCCATCAATGATGAATAGATAAGCAAACATCCATACAATAATAAAGGAATGAACTAGTGATACCTACAACAAAATGGATGAATCTCAAACATTATGCTAAGTGAAAGCAGACACACTCAAAAGGCTGCCCTGTAGGATTCCATTTACACGATATTCTGGAAAAGGCACAAATATAGGGACAGAAATCAGCTCAGAGATTGCCAGAAGCTGGGAGTGAGGGAAAGGGAGGTGATTACAAAAGGGCATGAGGAAACTTTGTGGGATGAAGGAAATGGGAACACCACGCCTTGACTGGGGTGTATTATGATTGTATAATATGTATGTTTCATATATTCTCATCAAAACTTATGGAATTGTATATCTAAAAAAGCACATTTTATTCTATGTAAATAAAATTGACTTCAAAAAAAACAATAGAAAAGAAACTGCCATATCTTGAGTTATGGTATGATATCAAAGAAACACATCCATATCTTAAAAAACATTATTAAAATACTCTTACTTTTTTTCTAACTATGTATCTGTGTATGACCAGATTTCCTTCATATGCTTCAATCAAAATAACATATCACAACAAACTGAATGGAGAAACAGATACAATAATCCAGTTTTCTTCTACTACGACAATCATTAAGAGATTGTAAAAATTTTACTAATTATTTTGTTTCGGAAAATATTTTTCATAAAAACTTGTTCTTTACTAACATAACGGATTACTGTTATTTTAAATAAGTTAATATTTAAACATTTTCTTTAATTTTTGATATGGTAAATATTGATATATATCACTCATATTTTTTTGAAGTTTTGGGGTCTTAATTTTTAAGAGCTCTAAAGAAGTCCTGAGACTAAAAAGTTTGAGAACAGTAGTTCTACAATATACTAGCACAGCGATGTAGTTATAAGTTGCCAGTATTTGTGGGCAGTAATGGTGCCATGGACTTCCTCTCAACTGTGGAAGAAATTATAGCATGAACTGACAGTGCAAACTATGTTCTGGTAACTCCACCTCAACTGTGTATAAAAGAATAGGCCCAGCATGGTGGCTCACTCCTGTAATCCTGGCACTTTGGGAGGCCAAGGCAGGCGGATAATGAGGTCAGGAGTTCAAAACCAGCCTGGCCAACATGGTGAAACCCCTTCTCTGTTAAAAACACAAAAATAAGCTGGGCATGGTGGCGCACACCTGTGATCCCAGCTACTCAGGAGGCTGAGGCAGAAGAACCCCTTGAACCCAGGAGGTGGAGGCTGCAGTGAGCCGAGATCGTGCCACTGCACGCCAGCCTGGGCAACAGAAAGAGACTGTCTCAAAAAAAAAAAAAAGAAAAGAAAGAAAGAAAAAAGGCTGCTACCACCACTTACCTGTATGCAAACAATAGGCACTTTCTAAATTATTTTCAGAAACGTGTTGAAAATATGAGCAATGTAAGTTTCTTCCTTTACCAAATAATACAAAAGCAATATTCAATGCCCCATTGTTGTCTTAAAACAGGGATGGCAATTTTTTTATGTAAAGCTCCAGACAGTAAATATTTCAGGCTTTACAGGCCATGTGGTCTGCCACAACTACTTAACTCTGCCCTTGTAGCACAAAAGCATCCATGGACAATACATGAATGAACATGATTATGTTGCATTAAAACTTTATTTATGGATACTGAAAATTGGATTTCATGTAGTTTTTACAACTCACAAAATATTATTCGGTTTTTTTGGACTTCTTTTTTTGCTACCATCCAAAAATATAAAAATCATTCTTAGCTCCAAGATGGATTTGGCCCATAGGTTGTGCAGTCTGCTACCTCCTGGCTTAAAACAACGTCCTAATCCCAATAGTCTGTCTAACCTAACTTTTGTTTATTTTGTTGGGAAAGGGGGCTCTGTGAATTATCACCCATTTCATTCATGTTAAA